GGTCAGCCCAGTAGTCAACCCTTCGCGATGGTCAGCCTGATCTAAGTTAACGGGGGCGCGAGTGGCGTACTACGACGCGAAGTTGATTTAGGCGGATAATAACTCGGACGAATAATTTCGGATCTCGGACACAGTTACGCAATGTCGAGTTGTTTACTCGCGGCGAATATTCCAGCTCATTCGAGGTAAATACGCATAGGAATTCCGTCGGTCGCGTGAAGGTTAGTCACTGCTCGCGATGTTGTTAGCACTTCATAGCGATGATCGCGTAACGAAACAAAGACAACGATGTGTATCCGAAACTTTGCCGGTCAAGCGATGGTCTGGCGCGACCCGCGTAATGTTTTCAATCGGCTTTGGAGAAGGAATTTATAGACGCGCGCACTTAGGAAAACTCGTTTCTCGGATATCAACGGTATAACGACGCACAAGACAATGCTCGGAAGGTCGGTGGCGAAAACACGTATAACAACGAAGACGGGCGCGCGAAGGTCATGCGACATACCCGCGCCACGGACGTTCGGCAATAACGCGGCGATTTCGTCTTTCGGACATAGGACAATGAGACGGCGCAACAAAGGAAATTCGGAAAATCAACGGCAAACGTATGATCGCGAAGCATAATGCGCGCGAAGGTCGTACGGCACTCCCGTAACGCGGCGGTCGGCAATCACGCGGCAATTCCACGTTCGTCAATCATGCGAGAACTAATAGAGGAGAGGCGTACTTACTCCGGCAAATTTTAAGAGTGATTGCGGTTGCGGCTACCGCCGCCAAGGCCGCTATAGCGGCCGCTACAATTGTCGTTTGCGTTGCCGTTGTTGCTGTTGCTAAAGCTGCTCCTGATACTGCTGCGGGTGCTGAGCTATTTCTAATGCTGATACTGCTGCGAATGCTGACTATTGCTCACTAATGCTCATTACTGCTCACTATTGCTCACTATTGCTCACTATTGCTCGTTACTGCTCATTTATGCTCACTATTGCTCATTAATGTTCACTGCTGCTCATTATTGCTCACTATTGCTCATTACTGCTCATTTATGCTCACTATTGCTCATTACTGCGCGGAAATTCTCCTTTGTCTCCAGGGCTCAGCGGCGCACTGGTCGGCACCGGAGTTCCGCGGGTTCTACGAGTACTGCTCGTCAGCAGGGCTCAACGGGTACTGGCGCGCCGTTTTTCGGCGACGCGCCGCTTCTCCTAGCTTACTTCCCCTTAGTTATTTGTTGATTGGCTGGCTTGTTGCTAAGCCGGGTCTCAGCGCCGTCTATACCGATATTTTTCGCCCGCGCAATTTGTTCATTGGTCGGGTCTTGGCGCCTAATTTGCCTACTGGTTACAGAGATAGCGTCGGTTTCGTCCTATTAGCCTAGCTACCCCTAAGCCGATAACGATTGACTGGTCAGTTAGCGTCGCTTGTCTATCCTTTTTCTATCTATTGCCCGGAAGGTCTTGCCGATTCCCCTCGCTCGCGTTCGATCGGTCTCGTATCGGCGGTCTCGCTCACTCTCACGCGCTCGGTTGCCCCTACCTTAGTCTAGCTAAGTCTGCCTCAGTTAACGGGGACTTGCGATCAACTGATCGCGGCTGGAAACTTTAAGGGCTTCCAGCTTCTCGGGGGAGTGTCGGATCGGGTCGTGAGTGCGTGAGGGGTTGTACGCGGGCGTAAGGGTCGTGCGCATCGGTCAGGGAGACTTCTGGGGGCCATAGTTCGCGAGATCCGGACGTGCGTGGGCGGGTGTATGAAAAATGAAATCCAGTGGTCTAAAGCTCTTGAAATATTAACAATTGCATACGGTAAGTCTACTCTAAGTAAGAAAAATATATATAAGTGGTATAAGCTGTTCTAAGAAGGCTGAGAGAATGTTGAAGACGAAGCTTGCACATCGACAACAGATGAAAACGTTGAAGTAGTGAAAGAAATTGTGTTAAAAAATTGTCGAATCACTATCAGAGAAGTTGCAGAAGATGTTGGCATATCGGTTGGCTCATGCCATGATATTCTTTCAGATGTTTCAGGCATGAGACGTGTGTCAGCGAAATTCGTTCCAAAATTGCTTAATTTTGATCAAAAGAACTGTTGCATGACTATCGCTCAGGAGATGTTGAATGGAGTTAATGAAGATCCTGATTTTCTCAAAAGGGTTATAACTGGTGATGAATCGTGGGTATATAGTTATGATGTCGAAACTAAAGTCCAGTCGTCCCAATGAAAGACCCCAGAAGAGCCAACACCCAAAAAAACATGCCAAGTTTGCTTACTGTCTTCTTTAATTACTGTGGCGTAGTTCATCAGGAATTCTTACTACAAGGTCGTACGGCCAATAAGGAGTATTACTTTGAAGTTATGCGTCGTTTGCGAGAGGCAATACGCAAAAAACATCCGGAACTTTGGAAAAACAATTCATGGATTTTGCATCACGATAAAGCATCTGCTTATTCATCGTTGCTTGTGTAAGATTTTTTGGCCAAAACTAATACCACAGTCATGCCTCAGTCTTCATATTCGGCGGATTTGGTTTCCAGTGACATTTTCTTTTCTTAAAACTTAAGAAACTCATAAAAGGACATCGATTTTCAACGATTGAGGAGATAAAAACTGCATCGCTTAAAGAACTCAAGGTTATACCTCAAAATGATTATCTTCGATGATTGGAAAAAGCGCTGGTACAAGTGTATTATATCTTATGGGAATTACTTTGAAGGGGAGATATAAATATTGATCAATAAATAAATATTTTTTGAGAAAACCATAAAGTCACCTTACTTTTTGAACACCTCTCGTATCACACGACAACTGTAAAACTATACATAAAACAGGTATTTTTAAATGTGAGAATGCACATACCACACATACTCAATTTGATTTGAAGATTAACTTGACATGAGTGTAGGAGTAGATCTAGCACGAAATGTTCAGGGAAAATCTTGCTTGGGGGCGGTCTACACCGACTGATTCGGTACATGGAATAATGTTTTCGTACAAGGACTTATAAAAATAACCGTGTTAGAAAGCTATGCAGCATATCAAACAACGTATGCCTACAGAAGTTCAACTACCTCAAATGGACAGATGTTTTGCACAACATCTATTCAGATCAAGAAACGAAGCATTTTACTTTATATCAAAAAGACATCTTAATGAAAACAGGAACAGAAATAAACTACAATGCGATTATTCTCCAATTATTACAAAATAATTAATGAATGGAAAAACTTTGTACTAACACCGAAAAAATCAACCAATACAGTCCTGACTTTGAAACCAACTATCACAGTAACATGACAACCAATAGAACTGTAATCATTGGCGATCACTGGAATCTATTCCAAAGGAGATCTTAGAAATATAGTATTTCAAAATCATATCCTCTTTCCCATGGAGATAGCATCACTTCTCAACGTAATTGCGCAACGATCACGTCCTGAAGGTGTTATGTATTGATACGTAAACTTTTATTGAAACCGTCAACAACCGACCGAGAATAGTGGGTTATGCGTTCAATATCAAATTTGTAAATCAATAACATCTTGAAATGTTAAGTCAGTCGATCTCAGCGAAATTAAAAGTTTAGTAATCCGAAAACTGAGGCGCTGTCACCTTCATTTCCTGATTATTCGACATATTAATGCAGGGCGAAAAGCCAATATAAAAAAAACAACCACTCGACTTTTCGGCGATTTCAGTGATTCGCGACGCGCGATAATTCCATCGAAACAAATGGTCTATATACTTGTATTAAGTTGCTACTTACGGAATGAAGTTTATTTTAAATAAAGTGAGATATTCTATTAGCATTGATCAAATATTAAACACGAAATATATAAACATGATAAATATAAGAACATATACTTATACATAAAAGAAACAAATCGGAAATAAGGTAGCGGACCAGCCAATCTCATTGAAAACAAAGAACACAGGTAAGCCCTGCCATTATAATAATTTTCATTAACATAAATATACATATACATTTTAAATCATACTATTTGAATAAAAATTTATCTATTTCAATAATTATATGTCACGGCCATGGAGTTGTGACATCAGAAATGAAAGCCTATCTACGAGCTATCACTTCTAAAACACCAACAACCAACAATATTGCAGCGTCTAAGATGTCTTAGTACAGATTTTATTGTTATTTAAATGATGAAAAAATCATTCAATCACTAATAAAACAAGACTACGCGGTGCTAGTTTATAATCATATTATGGAAATGAGACCCTACGTCAATAAATCAAGCAAAGTAATTTTCTCAAATGTGTATCCCAGCATTCCACACGACGAGATTATTTCAGTATTAGACACATGGTATTGGTATAGTATGGAGCCGAAGTCAAGCATGAGTTGGATTAAACTCGGTTTTAGTGAAACTGGATTTACGCACATATTCAGTTTTCGCAGATAAATTTACGTTCACCCTGACGACATACAAAAACTACCGAAGGAGTTTACTCTTAACTAAGATAGCTTACTTTATCATATCTACATCTCTACAGACAAGATCATCTGCTTCATATACAATCAGTAGGGTCGCACTGCTAAATCTTGTGATAAAAGTAAAAATACCAGCGAAAAAGATTCCGACGCTAAGACGGTTAATAATACAAGACCGACAAAACGCGAATTATTAAGTACAGTGATGTCGGTTTACGATCCGTTAGAAATATTAGCACCATTTACACTTAACGCGAAACTAATAATCCAAGATATTTGGATAAGTGGAGTAAGTTGGAATTCGAAAATCCGCGAAGAAGAATGTATGAAGTGGCTGGTGAGGTTAAAACATTTGAAGCAAATGAAAGACTGTCGAATACCGCGTTCATTCATCCCGGTAGATGCCGATTACGCGAACACGTAGCTTCACGTTTTTTGCGACGCAAGCAAAGAGGCCTTTGCAGCCGTCGCGTACCTAAGAACGACAACACGCGACGGATCGGTCCATTTAGCACTCATCATGTCGAAGTCGCGCGTTGCGCCGTTAAAACCGACAATGATTCCACGGCTGGAATTGCAAGCTGCGGTGCTCGGTACGCGTTTGGCCACGATGTTGGCCAAAGAATTTGATATTAAAATAGATCAACGAGTATTTTGGTCAGATTCCACTACCGTGCTGCATTGGATAAGGACAGGGCCACGAACGAAACAGATTTTCGTGGGAAATCGTTTAGGCGAGATAAACGCGGTTACGCGCGCGTCGGAATGGCGTTGGGTCCCAACAAGCCTAAATATTGCAGACGATAGCACGCGACAGTCAAGTAAAGCAATGCGATCAGACGATCGCTGGCTTACAGGCCCTGCCTTTCTTCGGGAGCCACCAACTTCGTGGCCGGCATCAAAAGAAATGAGTGAAATAGAAAAGCAAGAGGCTGATAAACTAGAAGCACGAAAAGAATTTATAGGAACGCAGTTCATCGATAACTCAAACATGTGGGAAGTTAGCGTCAGACTTAGAGTTTTAGGGTGGAACAGAATCGTAAGAGTAGCCGTGCAAGTGAGAAACGTATTTAACACCCAGTATATAAAAACGCGAAACAAGAAAAATAAATCTATATTCTCAAAACAAGCAAATATCGCGGAAATCGAAACGACCGTACAAAAAACGATCATGACTGAGAACTTTTGGTATCGGATAATTCAAAGCGCGTACCTTTCGAGCGAGCTTGAAGCTCTTAAGAAAGGGCAAGATGTAGCTAAAGGGAGCAAATTAATTGGACTTAGACCATTCATCGACGACCAAGGCCTAATTCGTGCGAGAGGACGCGTCATGCGTATATGGAACCGTCAAGAAAGAACGACGTCACTAGGAATAGAAAAATTCGAAAATCAGCCCGTAATCCTGGACGCGAATCACTACGCCACTAAATTATTAATTGAGGCGTATCACAAACGTTCTTTTCATGCGAATAATGAGACGGTAATCAATGAGATCCGACAAGAATTTTATATTATTGGACTGCGAGCGAGACTGAGATGGTTAAGTAAACGCTGCATCATTTGCAGATTGAGACGCGCTAAACCATCAAATACGCCGATGGCCGACTTGCCTAAATGTCGTGTAGCTCTGGAACAAAAGCCGTTTTCACAATGCGGAATAGATTACTTTCGACCAATGTTCGTCAAAATTGGTCGGCGTAGAGAAAAGAGATGGGGCGTTTTGTTTACGTGTTTGACAACGAGAGCAGTGCATCTCGAATTAACCCAGACACTGAGTGCAAGTTCCGCGATTATGGCCTTACAAAGACTAGCGGCTAGACGAGGGTTTCCGCGCGCAATTTTCAGCGACAACGGAACCAATTTCACAAAAGCAAGTAAGGAGCCACGTGACGCTATAATTAATATAGATACAGACCGTCAACGACGATTTGCCGAAACAAAGCGATTTACGTGGAAATTCAATCCTCCCGACGCTCCACATATGGGGGGAGCGTGGGAAAGATTAGTTCGATCGGTAAAAACAGCGTTAGAACACGCGTTAAATGGTGAATCAGTTAGCGAGGAAGTATTGTTAACTTTATTAGCCGAAGTAGAACACATGGTTAATTCGAGACCGTTGACGCATGTGTCGGTAGATCCGTGCGACGAAGAGGCTTTGACGCCGAATCATTTTCTGATAGGCAGTTCTTCCGGACATCTGAAACTTACGCAAGATGAAGGCCAAGTCCTCAACCCGCGACGTACATTCGAGATCGTGCAAAATCGCGCGAAAGGATTCTGGCGGCGATGGCTACGAGAATACCTACCCACACTGTTGCCTCGCAGAAAATGGCACCGATCGACACCCCCACTGAAAGTAGGAGACATTGTACTGGTAGTAGACTATCAAGCGCCGCGAAGCTCATGGAAAACCGGAAAAATTACTGAAGTGCATATAAATGGAGATGATGGCATCGTTAGATCAGCGGTCATTCGGATCGGAAAATCCTTTCTTACAAGACCGGTACACATATTAATAAAAATATTTGGAACAGAAAGCGTAAAAAAGTGATTAACTTTTTTACGGGGGAGGATGTTCCGGATACTAGGCCAATAAAATAAAATCGATGAAAGGCTCATAGACGCCTCAATTATTAGCATGTGTGGTTCTCATGTTTAGCTAAAAACATGTTAAATAAAAACAAAAAAAAAAGAAACTGTAAACGACAGTCGAACATCGCTTCGTCTCTCTTTATATCTATAAGGAAGAAGAAGAAAACAAGCGGGTGAGCGCGAGTACAATAAAAAAAAATGGTCCTGGGATCCCGTCGTTAGCCGTAAGACAGGGTCGACGAGCCGCATCTGTTCCTCAGGTGTGCCGCATCGACGCTGATCGACCCCGTCAATAAATTACCTCGTATTTACGCTCGTTTTTTGCCGAGTATTGTCGGGTCATAAAATTAACAGCTAAGGCCGGCACCGGCCGAAACTCTCTCTGCGTCGCCCAATAATTGAAAGAGCTGCACATAAAAGCGCAACGCAAAGTCGCTACCACCGCCCTCAAACAATAAAACTAGGCTCGTGCCTGATCAGGGCTGCCAAGTAACTCGGAACATACAAGTTCCTTGATTGAAAATAAAAAAAAAAAATAAAAAAGAAACGGAGGAGGGACTAAAATTTCTACTCTCCTCCAGAGAATAAGGCAGGCAGTGGGCCGCCACCAATGCTGAGTCGGAAGACTCGTAAGAGGAGCGGGGTAGTAGACCGCGCGATAAATGTAGTAGGGCTTCCCGGGCCTTTGGGCCGCGAGTGGGAGAAAAGCCGCAAGAGAGAGGGAAATTTCGGCGGTGGCCGGCCGGCGTTTTTCCTGCGGTTCGCCAGCCCGCGGCGAGCCCAGACGCGCGTTAGCCTTCTTTAAGCTTGTATCCGATATTTGTTTCATTTGTTTTTGTATTGCGTTGTTGCTCAATAAACTGTAGTATTAATAACAATTTAGCATTGTGATAATTCCCACTTCCTTTATCCCGAACAGTAGTTGCTAATGTATGTGTTTTGTGTGTGTATGTGCGTGTGTGTGCGTGTTTTATGTATATGTGTGCGTATGTAGGTGTGTTTGCAAATCTTGTGTCTCTGTCTTCTGCACCTATTTGTTCAGCCTTTCTTCCCATTTTTCAGTTGCTTAATCTTCTCTTCCTCTTTCTCTCTCTCTCTCTCTCTCTCTCCGAGCTCTGCCTTTTCAACTCTTCTGTTTTTCTCTTTCTTGCTTATTTTCTTTTCAACTTCTTCCTTTACTGCTTTCTTTTGCCTTTTCACCTTTGCCTTTTTTTTACTTTTGCTCTCTTTCTTGCTAATCATCTCACCTGTCTTTCTCCTTATTAGGGCTTTGACACCTTTTTCTCATTTCCTATTGCTCTCTCTGCCTTTTATTTCCCCAGCCTTACTCATAATCCTTAGTATCTTTATATTTCTCTTTTTGTTTTCCTTTTTCTTTCTCTTCGTCGTTTCTTCTTCTTTACCATTTTTACTCCATCATCCAATACCTGCTTCCTCTCGCTTGTGTAGTTGCTATTACTTGTGTTTTGTGTGTATGTGTATGTTTGCGTGTGTGTGCGTGTTTTGTGTATATGTGTGCGTATGTAGATGTGTCTGCGAGTCTTATGTCTCGTCTTCTGTTTCCGTCTGTCCTTATGGACTTGTAATTTGGTCTTCTTGTTTTTCCTTTTCTCTCTCCTCTTCGTTTCTTCTTCTTTTCCTTTTTAGCTCCATCATCCACGCTATCTTTTCATTGCTTCCTATTATTATTTTTTCCCATTCTTCCCCTTCCTTTTTACTTTTTTCACATTTTTCTACTATGTGCTTCCAATTTTCTTCCTCTTTCATACACATTCTGCATCTCTTATTTTCTTCTTTTTCCCAATACCTGCTTCCTCTCGTTTCGTTACCTAACCTAAACCTTTCCCTTATTTGTAGGTCTTTTATTCTTCCCTCTTCTTGAATTTCCTTTAACCTATACTTTTTCATTTATTCTTTCAATTCTTTCCACTCCTTTATGTATCTTGACTATTCTAGCTTTTCTTCTAGTTCTTTTTCTTCTTTTTTCTTTAGCCCTTCTCTTATTTCTTCCCAAAAATCTTCTCTCATTTCGTCTCCGTCTTCCCTCTCTTTGTATATTTTACTTTTTTTTAGTCTTTCCTATCTCTCCTTCTTAGCCTTTTTATCTTTTTCATTTCTTTCCCTTTTCTTTAGTTCTATCCATGCATCTTTTTTTATTGACCCATCTCTTTCTTCTCTTATTTTGTGTTCATACCTCATTGCTCTTTCTAATGCTGTTTCTTTCATTTCTTGTCTTCCTGTTTCCTATCGTATTAAGTAACTTGGCGTGTTTCTATCTAATCCCAATACCCACTTTATGTATTTTAGTTGTACTCTCTCATTTTCTTCATATCTCTTCCATCCCCAGATTTCTGCTCCATACATAATCACGCTTTTCGCCAGTGCGTCGAACAGGTTCATCCTTAACTCTCAATTTTCTCTAAATAGCTTTTCTCCTAGCCCCCATAGTCTTCCGAGTCTCATATTTATTTTCCCTTCTACCTTCTTTATCTGCTTTTTATTTCCGTTATTTCTGTTTATCACATATCCTAAGTAGTTGTACTCTTTAACCATCTCTATCTTCTCACCTTCCCATTCGAATTCTTCTTCTTCGCCCTTCCTCCTCCTCTCCTGCATTTCATCATCGTTGAATTTTCTACATTTAGCTCTAATCCTCTTTCTTCCAGGTATCTTTTTAATTTTTTCAGTATCGCTTTCATTCCACTTCCACTCTTTGCCATCATCACTATATCATCTGCATATCATAATGTCCATATTTTCTTCCTTCCTATCACTATCCCTCCTTCTTGCACCTGTTTGATCTTGCCTTCCAGGTCGGCGAAGGCAAGTTTAAATAGCGTGGTGCTCAAAGGGCACCCTTGCCTTACGCCTTTGTAAGTCTCAAACTCCCCAATTATTTCTTCTCCAACTTTTACCTTATTCCCTGTTTTCTTATATATTTCTTCTATTCTTTTCCTGATTTTCACATTCATTTATATATTTTATTTTCCGTTTCTCTTTCATGATTTTCCATATTTTCTTCCACTTTATCTTGTCAAAAGCGGCCTTCCTGTTGTCAAAGAATACGTATATTTTTCCTCCTTTTTCCCTTATTTCCTTCTCTATTATTGTTTTTAATATATATATATATATATATATTGCGTCCATTGTTCCTCTTTTCTTCCTGAATCCCATCTGCGTATCTCTTAGCGTTTCTTTTGCTTCAGATTCTCTTTCCAGCTTTTTCCTCAATATTTCCGCATATATTTTATATCCCGTATCCATCAGCGTTATTCCTTTGTAGTTTTTTACTTCTTCATTCCTCCCTTTCTTATATATTGGTACTATTATTCCCTTCGTCCATTCTTCCAGGTATCCTTCTCCGTTCCATATTCCGTTTAAGCATTTTGTCATATCTTTTAACGAGCCTTCCGTGCCTTCCTTCCACGCTTCATTCGCTATACCATCTTCTCCTGTCGCCTTTTTCTTATTCATTCTTCTTATTACCTATTTTACTTCTTTTACTTTAATTTCTTCACCTTCCTCTACTTCGCTGTCTTCGGTTTCTTCCCCTTTGCTTTCTTCCTTTTCTTTCTCTCCCAATTGTCCCTTGAAGTGCTTTAACCATTCTTCTTTTCTTATATTTTCATCTAATCTAATTCTTTTCTTCCTATTGCAATTCACTTTATCCCAGAATTTTCTTCGCGTCTTATCTTTTCTTATTTCTTATGCCACTATTCTCCCCTCAGCTTCTTTCGCTTTTCTTATTTCCTCTCTGTATTCTCTTTTTGCTTCTAGGTATTTACCTCTGACTCCTTTCGTTTTGTTTACCTTATTAAACTCTGCCACCTCCCTAGCCCTGTTTATCCTACATTCTTCTTTCTACCAGCTTTTTTCCATCCTTTTTTTTCCTTATCTTCTTTTTTGCGATCGCGTTTCTCACTCTATTTTTTATCTCTTTCCATTTTTCTGATCCCTTTATTGCGTCTATCCATCTATAATACTCTCTTATACCTTCTTCGTTCCAGTCATCTATCATTCTTTCTTTCTGTTCTTTTCTTTCTTCTGCTATTTTATCTCCCAATTCCACTTCTACTGGTAAGTGGTCCGACCTTACCCTCTCTTTTATTTGTACCCTTTTTATCGCCTCATCACCTTCCTCGTTACCTACTACATAATCTATTGTTGATATTCCTCTCGCTCCTAGATATGTTATTTCTCCCTCTTCATCTCCTTCTTTTCTCCCATTCGTTGTCACTAAACCTATTTTTCCTAACCATTTTATCATTTCTTCTCTTTCTGCATTTAACACTTTATCCTTGACCTTTATTTCTTCTAGGTTTTCTTCTGTCTCCCATTCTCTCAGTTCATTTCCTGTTCTTGCGTTGAAGTCTCCTCCTATAATTATTGTTTTTCCTCTGTTTTGCACTATCTCTTCTCTTAGGTATTCATAGTTTTCCTTTTTCTCATGTTGCATATACACCGTTGCTATCATGTATTTCCTCCCTCCGATCTTTATTTCTCCTGCTATTATTTCACTTCTCCTTTCTTTCTACCATTCAACCTTACTCATCCCTTTCCTCTCTTACCGCCATTATTCTTCCCCCTATTTCTCTCCTCCTATTTCTCTCCCCCTTCTTCCTTCCCTTCTTGAATCTCTCCACTCTATGTTATACCCTTTCAGTTGTTTCTCCACCCCAGTTTTTTCCCTCCATACTCCTAATCCCCGCCACGTTCCAGAATAGAATCTTTACTGCCTCTCTTCCCTCTCTCTCCTTTTTCCCTTCTCACTCTTTTTTTTCCTATTGGTTTCGAAACACTTTCGCCCTTTTTCCTACCACTTTTCCCTCTTTCTCGCTCCACCACCATTCTTCTTCCTCAGACTTCACCCCGTTATGCCACATTTTACCTCTTTACCTTTACTTTTTATTTATAAAAAACATGCTTATAGCGAGCTCTGCGCTAATACATACTTGTATC